ACTTGGTTTATTGTCCATCCCTCGTTTCCGGTTGTCTACAGTAGGTGGAAGGTCATTTAGTGTTAATGCTCCAAAATTATGGAATTCACTGCCTCTTTCACTTCGAAATATTTCATCTGTGGCTACATTCAAGACACAGTTAAAAACATATCTATTTAACATGTATTTCGTTTAAATGTGACTATATGTATCCTATGTGATTGTAAGTTGTGTGTTAGTGTGTAAATGTACCATGTAAAGCGACCTTGAGCTCTGGAAAGGCGCTATATAAATAAAACTTCTTTTTCTTCTTCTTCTTCATCCCTGCAATAAATAAACTAATCTTTGTGACAATTCTGGTTGAGGCTGTCCGAGAGATTTTGATTCAACTCAATTTATGAGGCTGTAAATTGTTGTGCTGCTGTAATGGACTGTATTATATTATAGCAGGTGGGCAAAATATCAGTTATACACAGCACAATCAAACAAACAGTCTACAACTGACTCCTCTTTGATCCAACAAAAATATGTTACAGGCTGCTCAAAGGCAGTTATTTATTACAGAGCTGTTGAATTTGAATAAGCTGGGCTACACAGGTGTTGCTTGTATTGTGTCTACCTCATGTATACAGCTAGTTAAGGTAAAGACAGATAAACAGTAGTCCTTGACTATATGCATAAAACAAAACACTCCTGTTATATTCTGGTTGGTATAACAGTCAGTGTGAAATGTAAAGCCAGCTTTAGAAAGCTCTAGAGGACATTTTGTATCTTTAAAGCTTCAGAGTTGTATTGAATTGTCTGAATGTTGCACAGGTAGATACAGTAGGAGCCATACAGCATTTAAAGGATAAATCACAGAGCAACTCCTGCCTGCCCCTGCCCCTCCCCCACGCAGTCATAGCAGCTCTGCAGCACCCTTTGAGCAAAGCCTCGTTCTGAGAGGGGACTGGAGCAATGCCAGTTTAGCCAGAGCCAGATCCACAGAGAAACACTGAGCTTCTCTTACACTGCTACACATTGACCTACATAATTTATAGTCAGCTGATTGATTCTTGAGCCCGGGCCACATGAAGAGACAGTGTGGCGCACACAGCAGGGTCGAGCCACTGGCTGCTCATCTATTACAGGAGCTGAGTATTTTGTTTGGATTCACAACAGAGAGGACAATTTGAAAATGTAACCTCACGCGGGAGCTACACACAAAAGTTCTCATTGAGTGCGGTGTTATCCTGGTTTGGTGTGACAGGTCTGGATTTACAACCTTTCAGTCCCACCCTGAACGTGCTAAAGACACTTCTTGCTCGCAGTCCCTCCTGCAGATGACCAACCTTAAGCTGACTGCTGAATGTCACACAACTACAAAGCATCTCCTAGGAAATGCTAATGTCAGCACTACTGAAACCCTAACATTAACCCTTTCCTCTGCAAGCCAAGTGTCTGTCTTGAGCCACTGAATGCATCTGGTGGCAAATGAGCATCCAAGCATGAATGAAAACTGACCGCCACTAATCTGACGTATTAAGTAACCAGCTGATTCTGTGTAGATTAATCAGTTATTAGCATCAATTTGTTTCTCAACACATTGCTCGTATTTTACAGTGCGAGTTCCATCGTATCACATCATCGTGATGGGGTTTAAAGCACAATCTTGATGGTTACTGTAATATCTTCATGAAGAAACTCCCTGGAGCCTACTGCATCCCACATCCACAGTAATGCAGGATTACAAACCTATTCCCACAGTTTTTCTCCACACACACAGACACACACACACACACACACGTCTAAATCCTGCAAAGCTCAAAGCTTTCATCAGACTTGATTCCATGACAGATGAATTGGTTTTCCAGGCCAAACTAATCCTTAAAATCAAACAGAAGCAGGGCCCCGCTAAAGCTTGTAAGAAGCCCCTCTGCTGCAGTCTGAGCAGTTTGTCTGAAAGTGAAATTAACTTTGCATTGCCCGTCTCCAGTATCGACTTTCATACCCACTACCTTGTTTTTACTGGATTCCTGTGTACTCTGATTTTCTTGTAGGTGCAGAACTAATAGTGTGTGTAATTTGATGCGCACTATAGGCACCCTCCTATTTTGACAACAGCTTATCCTGTCTTATGTTATTTAACGCCATGTGCTTGTCAGGCAGCCACACATTTCCCTTAAGGCCCTTCTTATTACACACAAATAAATAGCCTATGCCTTATAATAAACCCCAAATCATCTTTTATATGGCGGCGTAAATAACTCAACCTGTGTTTACATCCTCCTCCTCCTCCTCCATCGCTACACGAATAGCTGTGTGCCTTTACATAACCACAGTATGGTCTTTGTTATGATGACAGCACCAGCATGTCACCGCTCACCTTCCAGCCAGCAGAGCTGTTGCTGTCGCCTTTGTCCTTGAAATATGGCACAGACCTCACCATCCAGTCATAGATTTGGGACAAGGTCAGCCTTTTCTCGGGGGAGCTCTCGATGGCTTGGGTAATGAGGTCTGCATAGGAGTAGTTGCCCCAAGCGTTCCTGCGGGCGGAGGACTTCCTCAGCTGCTGGGATGCAGAGCCGCCCAGAGCCGCGGAGGGGGTCTGCGCGGAGGAAGGAGAGCCGTCGGTGGCCTCCTCCTTGCAGGGGCCGCGCTGGACCTCCACAGGCTGTGAGATGGAGCTCGGCTCCCGGGGTTTATTAACACCACCGCTGGCTTTCTGAGCATCGCCGCTCCCCGTGCTGCCACCCTCATCATCCTCTTCTTCAGGGATTACGTCAGTGTCATTTGTCCCGGACTTGCCCGCACCAGACTCCGGACGGGGAAGGGGCCAAGTGCAGGACCGTGGCCGCTTCTGAGGCTCGAAATCCGGATCTATCTCAATGTTTAAAAGAGGCTCGTTGCGCGGCGTCTCAGCCATGTTAATCGTAATATCTCGGTCGTTGCACAAACGGTTATAAAATCACTCAGGTCGCATTCCATCAATGTTGTGTCCAGGCTTCAGAGACAGTTTATTTACTATGCACGATATGCAAATATCCAGCCTGCAGCCCAGTCCCAGCACGTGTCCGTCTTTCTATCCTCCTGCACGGGGTCTAACCGCAGCACACAGGGCTGATCTGACTGACCAGCATTAACAAAACATTGCCTTTTCTCGTGCACAGCCCACACCCTGGCCAACGTGCATTGTAAATTGGCAAAATGTGGAGTTAAAAGCAGGAAGAGTCCGCGGAGTCTTTGGAGGAATCCAAACGGCGTTCCTTTACAAGCGCTCGCGTCCCGCACCGCGATCCTGCGACGTTCATGCCAGAGAAAATGAAAATGACTGCATCTAATGCCACCACATCAGCTTTATCACTCCGTACTCAGCTGCCATCTTGACCATTTCCTTTCCTAAGTTCTTCATCATCCGCGCAGAGAGCTGCCAGTCGCCTGAGCTGTGCGCTGCTGTCCAGAATACCATCAAGGCGGAGATTGCTTTCTCTCAAGGCCCTGCCACTTTAAAAAAGGGGGGGGTTACTGGAGAAATGTAGCGAGGCTCAAAACCGCCCTCTCAAGAGCTAAAAAAAAAAAATAATGATGCATTCTGGCTGTACATCTCTGGCATCTTAAACAGGCCAGCACGGTATCCTCCGTGTGGCCAGCAGCCTGCAACCACACTTCACTCAGTCTGCTGCTGCTGCTGTAGTGCCTGGCGCAAACGCTCCGACTCCAGGAGAAAAAAAAGAAAACACACGATCCTGCCCCCCTGGACTGCACTGAAATTAAAGTGACAGTATGGAGATGTCCGCAGGCCAATGACATCACTGCGTGCACCTTTCATTAGGAGCCTCTGATACTCTAATATTCTACTAAATCTGAAGCAGTCTGCAGTTATTTCATTCAATTTTGATTAGGATCACGGAAATAATATTTTTAAAAAGTATCTGGATACTCAGTTTATAATTGCTAATTTATATTTTCTATCAATAGTTATCTCAACACACACTCGGCTATAAATAAAATTATAAATACTAAATCAAATTTATATTTGTTTATTTGTTGTCATAAAAGTAGTCAAATGTATTGAATAACTGAGTCTAAAGATACTTTAATCCACCTTTATTATACCTACCTTGTTACTCACTACTCCTAGCAGGTTTCTAAACTCCAAATTCTCACAAAAACACAGATGACATGACACCAGTGTCCTCGTGGATGGTAGCAGCTGCCCTGGATACAACAAAAATATACGGTATTGTAGCTTTTAAAATATAATGAACGCAAAATAAATAATGTCAAGGTTTGTAAATAATAAATGGAAAGTTGTTGTCCCATCCAAAACTGCTAATTCATTTTCTTACCTGCGACCATATTGTAGCGACCACTGAGAGCAGAGTCCTCAGTGTCTTTTAATGACCTGAAGAGGAGTTTACACTCTACACTTATGCAAACATAACAAATGGTGGGTTTTGAAGGCTGATTTGGATGTTCTTTTAGACTGAAGATCTATAAATTGCATTGTTTTTCCTCAAAAATGATAAAGTACCTCTGGGGATTTGTATTTGACCTCAGTATTTGGAACATCTGACTAAGGCATAGGTCTGCAACACAACAATTCAATTAATAAATTAAGAAGCTTTTCCAAAGATTTCCTAATGAGGGAAAAGGGATTTAAAGCTAATTTAAATGAAAAAGGGAAACATTGAACAGATTAGACAATAAGAGCAACAAGTAATGCTTTGCTGACTGCAAATGTCAAAGTTAAAGAATTACTGAAATCAAAATTCGTTAAAAATGTGAGAATAGAGCTGGGCAACAAGTCAATATTATAACCAGTTTATTGACTTTCAATGGAATCGAATGATGACATGTGATCATGTCAGTCATTTCACAACTTTTTGTTATCTTCAACCAATTCCAGTTGACTTTGATTTTAACCTTCCTTTGGATAACTATGACCTGGATGACTGAGAATATTCACAGACCACATTATGTTGTCCAAACGAATGCTTTCAAGTAAATTGTGATTGAATAAAACTTTTTTTTTTTTTTACGTTTTGTTTACAGTGGAACACTGCCTGAACAAATGTGATTATTTTATATATGATTTTGCACACACTAGCCATATTGTGATTACATATATATCTCAACAAAATAATTTATTATTAATACAATCTCATAATATTTGTTTCAACCATACTGCTCAGCCCTAAGTGAGACTACAGGCTGTTTTATAATAATTACACCACAGATCTGAGGGTCTTAAGGATAGAGGACATTGCATGCTGTATAGATTTTAAAATTAAATGTTTTTAAATTTTGGCTGAATAAATTAAACTGACTTGACCAAACAGAGTACTTATAATCACTTACTTTGCAATGTCTTTCATATGAGCAAAAAAGTTATCAAGAATAATGCAGCGGTTAAACCTCACTGACACAGTGGACTGTTTGGTTATTGCAAGTTAAAAAACATTATTTGAATTAATGTAATTCAAAGATGAAGGCAGTTATATCCTCCAATATGAAACAGCTGTTAAAAAGGCCTTAATATTTGATTTCTGCACAAAATAAGCACATATTTTTATAAGTTTTCTTTCACTTTCATTTCCCACATTGCTTTTTTGTTTTTAATAAAAAGACAGAGTGTATGACTGAGTGTTAACAGTTAAGCCTCAACCAACTCCGACACTTGAACCATTGTCTGTTTCATTTATGAAGATAGATGCGTAAGAATATAGTGCCTTGAAAGTAATATGTAAACTAAAACGCTTCCTGTAATGCAAGTTTTGTTTCCTTTTTATCCGCCAAATGAAAATACTGATGAATGGAGTCAAATGTTACCGTTGAGCGCACCTGTGAAATGTTTGTGCAACAAACGTTTCACAAGCACCATGCACATGAATCATTAGAAATAAACGCATAACATTAAATCCCCGAACTAAAGTCTGTCATCCAGTTTCTTTCTTGCAGTTTTTAAAAAAAGGGCAAATACAATTGGACCACTATGTGATACTGAGTTAAAAGCAATTTGACACACTAATGTTTACCTTAAAAATTATTCATAAAGTGCAATGTCACATTAAAAGGCCTTAAGATTTAAATAAATAATCTGTGTACACCACTTGCACTCATATTGTTGAGCAGTCCCATTTCTGGATAAGATGAGTAGGAGTAGTGTTCAGTCTGGGCTGTTTTTGGCAGAGAGGAGTACAGTTTATGGAGTGTGGCGGTTGTGTAACATGGCTGAATTATCCACATTACACCTGTGGTTTTGTGCTTCTGTCTCCTTCTAACCAATATTCTTCTGTCTGCATCTCTGTGAGTCGAGACACTGTCCTCTGGAAGGCAAATCTTTCCTCCTCTCCACTGAAGATGGACAGACTGCTGGCTTCATCCTGTTAAAACCACAGAGTGTACAATAAAAAGTAATACAGTTTAGTACCAAGTCCTTATACTTCTTCAAATAAAAAAAAGTTATCAAACAACTTTAAATTAGTTTTAAAAAAACCCAGACAATTCAACAGAAAGATCACTCTGTGTTGCAGTCATTACACCAATTTATTTATGTTCATATTTATCTATCTTTAAATACTTTACATGTTTACACAGTTATTTCCTTTATTGCTCTGAGGTGTCGATTCAGCCTTAAATTTTATAATTTATGTTTTTATGCTTTTTATGACATGTTCACAGTTCATGGTAAGCTCTGAACAGTGGGTGGGGGCCTCAACATTTAAATTTTAACTGTACTTTTTACAGTTAAAAATAAACAAACATGGGAAACTTAAATCAATGTTTTTAAATTATGTTACAAAACCCTATAAATCTGTTATCTCAACCTCAAAACTGATTTTTAATTGAAAACTGGGTGGGCGGAGGTAAAAATTCTTTGATTTCAGCTCCTTATTTGTGAATATTTTCTGGTTTCTTTACTTCTCTATGACAGAAAACTGAATATCTTTGGGTTGTGGACAATCAAGACATTTGAGGAGGTCATCTTGAGCTTTGGGAAACACTGATCGACATTTTCTAGACCAAACAACCAATTAATTAATTAAAACAGATTAATTGACAATGACAAGAATCCATAGATGCAGCCCTAATTTGCTTTTGCAATTGGTTCATTTGTATTAAGAAAATGGCACTTTGTATTCCTGTTTATTAGTTATTTAGCAGGATTTTCCAATAATATTTGGTGTAAAAGAAAATCTGTGGATTTTTTAATATTGAGAGGGCATTTTGGAACATCTTACTCACTTTAAACAATCTGAGCCATGTATCCCCTGATTGTTTATTGTTGATTGTTAATGCCAATTTAAATCTAGATGCAGTTTAAAATTTACAGATGATTTCCTATTCTTAAAGCAATATATCTAGAGGATTGTGCATTTATGGGAGAAGTGCGAGTAACCAGTTAAGAGGCCATAAAATAGACTGACTTACCTTCAGTTGGGTGATTTAAGCTCCATTCACTGACAGCCAACAGCCTCAGCCAGCTTAATGATCAACATTTACGACTGAAAGGAGCCACCCAACATGAAAAACTGGTTCAGCTTTGAAAACAGTCCGAGCTCTTACCCTTTTCAGCCCAAGATCATCCATCAGAATGTGGCTCTCGTCATGACTGTGATCACCATTGTGTACGAAGATATCCTCCAGTGGATGATCTGCAAGAATCACCACTCGCACCTGAAAGGAGATAAAATAATTATAAAATAGCTAAAGTTTGGTGTTTTTGGAGTGGGTCAACGGTGCATGCACATAACAGCAGTGTACCTTGTGTTCGTAGAGGGCATCCACGAGCGTTATAAGCCGCCTGGCTTGAGTTTTCTTGTTCAGCGTCAGAAGTGGAATGTGTCGAATAAAGATGGTGTCAAACAGCCTGGACATCTCCAGGTAGTCACTGGCCCCTAAAGGCTGAATACATTCAAAAATCACCATTACACTACACTGGTTTAAGTTGCTGTAACATTTACATTTTCTGTGGTTTTACTAAAACCACACTTTGTCTGCAAACCCGTGTTTGTGGCTGTGGCTTTATGACGTTCTCTTTAGTAAGTCATTTCTCTGGAAAGCTTCAGGCACTTGTTTAACTTTGTTTTAAATTCCCAGCATTTTAAACGACACCAAATAGGCTGATGAATCTGGATTTTCCTATTTGATGTATGTATGAATAAGCACATACAGAGTATGTGACACGCTCATACAGCGTGGATTTTTGACTCAGAAGTGTACAGTACAAGGACCTTTTAACGCAACATCAGAGTTTGACAACTTTATAACGGCATTATAGCTGAGTGTGTAGAAATCCAGTTGCAAACTTCTTCACTTCACTCACATTCGTAAGTTTTCAACAACCCAAGATTAGATACACAGAGTTTTGCCACAATTGTGTCATCATACTCATTGCACAATATGGATTTAAAAAGAATAATGGTCTGACACACTTACTCTGTCACACAGCTCCTCAAATGTACAGTCTGCAATGGTCCCACATGCTTTGTTCAGACGCACTTTCCTGTTGTTAATGTTCAGAATTCTTGGTCTTGTTACTGTGGAGGAAAAACAGAACGTTAAATACACCATGTGATATGAAGGATTGCAATTTCTGTGGCAATACAGATAAAATGACATCCAAATGACATCCAAATGACATATTAGCCATACAATTGAGTCAAATGTTGACTTCACTTACTGTCATTTTGCTTAAAAGCCAGCTCATCAAACATCTTGTCTAGTGTCGCTTCTACATCAGGCTCAGTGGAGCTGCAGTACATGTTACAGGGAAACATTAAAAACACAAAACAACAGATCAAGCTCTGGCTTGCAGTGACTGACTGCTTCTTACAGAAAGTAGAGTTTTCCAGCAGAGGGTCTGTTCCTTTTACGGTAATCTATCCCAGAATCCAGGCGAAGAGTTTGGCAATATTTCTGCATGGGAGAGACAAACGCTTAATGACAGGCGCATTTAACATAAAAAGAAGAAATTTCAATACGCTTGTCTCGTAATATACTTCTCCTTTCTTACCTGTAACACAGCAATAAAAGGCACAAAGTTGACTCTCTGCAGCCCGTTTTTATACAAGTCTGAGGGAAGAGAGTATAGGTCATAACTTGTGTTTACAGTGTTGCTATTTACACTTAAAAGTCATGTTTGCAAAATTTTATAGTAATGCTGTCTCATTCAAGATTTTTGTCAGCAATCTTGGATACCCCAAAAGTAGAAACTCTTACCAATCTCTTTGATTGGTAAAACTAACTAAAATCCTACTTTGACACCGTGGATTATAGGATGTAGATCACAGACATAAAACGTTGATATCAGCAGTAACAAAATCAATTGGCAAGAAGAGTTTCTGTTAAGACAATTCCCTACCTTCAGGGGGACGATTAGAAGTGGCCACAACAACAACACCGTTCAGAAACAGGTTCTCAAAAAGCTGCTTGAGAATCATGGCATCAGCGATATCAGTGACCTGAAAAGAGTTAAAAATAAATGAATTTGACACAATCACAAAAAAGTTAAACACTGTCAGATTCTATATTATAAAAAATGTTCCATCACAGTTGGTGAGGTATGTAGAAACATTATTACCTGAAACTCATCAAAGCACAAAAGACAAGCCTCCTCACTGATCTCCTCAGCAACTGGAGCAATGGGGTCATAGGATTTGGCCATTTTCCCTGCTTTCCTCTTTGGCATACTCTGTTTCAGCCGATGGATCCCTGAAGACCAGAAATTACAAATGAATACACATGAATACTAGAAACTGCTAAAGCTAATGCAGACACTGGAAAACACAAACCGTACATGTATTGTCAGGGGCACTTGTGTCCCAGAAGGTATAGCGGGTTGCCCACTAACTCGAAGATCGGCGGGTCAATCCCCCGGATCCTTCAATCTGTATGTCGAAGTGTACTTGGCCAAGATACTGAACCTTTGTCTCTGCCAACAGTGTGTGAATGGCTGACTGTGATGTAATGTAAAAGAGCTTTGAGTGGTCGGAAGACTATAAAAGGTGTGTGTAGTATACAGACATACAGTGGGTACGGAAAGTATTCAGACCCCTTTAAATTTTTCACTCTTTGTTTCATTGCAGCCATTTTCCAAAAATCAAAAAAGTTCATTTTATTTCTCAGTAATGTACACTCAGCACCCCATCTTGACAGAAAAAAAAACAGAAATGTAGAAATTTTTGCAAATTTATTAAAAAAGAAAAACTGAAATATCACATGGTCATAAGTATTCAGACCCTTTGCTCAGTATTTAGTAGAAGCACCCTTTTGATCTAATACAGCCATGAGTCATTTTGGGAAAGATGCAACAAGTTTTTCACATCTGGATTTGGGTATCCTCTGCCATTCCTCCTTGCAGATCCTCTCCAGTTCTGTCAGGTTGGATGGTAAACGTTGGTGGACAGCCATTTTCAGGTCTCTCCAGAGATGCTCAATTTTAAGTCAGGGCTCTGGCTGGGCCATTCAAGAACAGCCACAGAGTTGTTGTGAAGCCACTCCTTCGTTATTTTAGCGGTGCGCTTAGGGTCATTGTCTTGTTGGAAGGTAACCTTCGGCCCAGTCTGAGGTCCAGAGCACTCTGGAAAAGGTTTTCGTCCAGGATATCCCTGTACTTGGCCGCATTCATCTTTCCCTCGACTGCAACCAGTCGTCCTGTCCCTGCAGCTGAAAAACACCCCCACAGCATGATGCTGCCACCACCATGCTTCACTGTTGAGACTGTATTGGACAGGTGATGAGCAGTGCCTGGTTTTCTCCACACATACCGCTTAGAATTAAGGCCAAAAAGTTCTATCTTGGTCTCATCAGACCAGAGGATCTTATTTATCACCATCTTGGAGTCCTTCAGGTGTTTTTTAGCAAACTCCATGCGGGCTTTCATGTGTCTTGCACTGAGGAGAGGCTTCCGTCGGGCCACTCTGCCATAAAGCCCCGACTGGTGGATTGCTGCAGTGATGGTTGACTTACTACAACTTTCTCCCATCTCCCGACTGCATCTCTGGAGCTCAGCCACAGTGACCTTTGGGTTCTTCTTTACCTCTCTCACCAAGGCTCTTCTCCCCCGATAGCTCAGTTTGGCCGGACGGCCAGCTCTAGGAAGGGTTCTGGTCGTCCCAAACGTCTTCCATTTGAGGATTATGGAGGCCACTGTGCTCTTAGGAACCTTAAGTGCAGCAGAAATTTTTTTGTAACCTTGGCCAGATCTGTGCCTTGCCACAATTCTGTCTCTGAGCTCTTCAGGCAGTTCCTTTGACCTCATGATTCTCATATGCTCTGACATGCACTGTGAGCTGTAAGGTCTTATATAGACAGGTGTGTGGCTTTCCTAAACAAGTCCAATCAGTATAATCAAACACAGCTGGACTCAAATGAAGGTGTAGAACCATCTCAAGGATGATCAGAAGAAATAGACAGCACCTGAGTTAAATATGAGTGTCACGGCAAAGGGTCTGAATACTTATGACCATGTGATATTTCAGTTTTTCTTTTTTAATAAATTGGCAAAAATTTCTACATTTCTGTTTTTTTCTGTCAAGATGGGGTGCTGAGTGTACATTACTGAGAAATAAAATGAACTTTTTAGATTTTTGGAAAATGGCTGCAATGAAACAAAGAGTGAAAAATTTAAAGGGGTCTGAATACTTTCCGTACCCACTGTAAATGTACCATACCTCTTTGGTATAATTATTCACAAAATGTGAATTAGACGGAAAAAGTAAAAGTGGTGTAATGAATTTATTGGTGCAGAGCAACGATTAAAATTTTTAAATAGCGATTAATCGCATGATTTTCTGTGATTAATCGCATAGTTATGCACAAAATTGAATAATGAATTCTAAAGTAGTGTATTGCACACTTTTAATTTAAACGTACTGCTATATACACAAATAAGGTGCTTTTTACCAGCAGTATTCCCTTTACACAGTAGCAATAAAATATTTCTTGTCAGCTCAAACATCATTGTAATCAAATCGAATATAAAACCAACTCTATTTGCCACTGCCAGGGCATTACTTTTTATAGCCTATTAAAACAAGTTAGAGTCCAGAGCCACGATCATAACAGGCACCTTCTAAGCAACAGGTTAACGTATAAAATCTGTTTTCTTGTTTTTTTTCTGAACAGGTATCAGCAGAAACATTTTATCAGGGAGCAGCAGAAACATCCTATGTTCAGAAACAATTGTCCCTGCTAGAGTCAGGAGAAGTAGTCACCTCATGCACACACCCGCAGCCGAGGTTCTTTTTATGTGACCCGCAACACAAATCATTGGAAGAGAGACTGATCCTCGCTGTTTGAGAGTTTCCAGAATCTATTACTGTTTAACTAAATAGGACATCAACAGGAGGGAATTCGCATGGCAGAGCTTCCCCACAAAACTAGATGAAGGCCTACCAGGTAAAGTTATGTAACCTATAATTTTAACTTAAGTTAAATAGGCGTCATCTGTTAAGCGCACAGAAGCCGTTGCCATGGTTACCGTCTATAGAGCACCTGCCGTTAACACGCCGAGCACTTGTCTCCCTGTCAGATCACTGGAGCGCAGACCAACCCCGCGGGGCCCAGCGACTACGTTGTGATCTGATTTTGTGACTGATTTATTCAACAGACTTTGAAAATAGCATGTTTTGAAGGGTTCACTTCTCACTAGAACTAAAATAATAGCATTATATTGAACAATAAATTCAATACAACAAATTTCACCCCTTACAAGCAACATATACTAGGTTACATGTGAAGTTCACTTATAGCCGATGGTAAAATACACACAGCTAGTGATGCCTGCTGGAATGACCAACATCGTTACACCATAATATTAATCAAGGATGCATAATGTCATAGAAGCAAATCACCCTGCACAGAGCTGCTGAGATTCAGTGGGTTGTCTGTAACCACTTACAGGTAATTTCATATATTGAATGACTGGTGAATGAATGAGTTGGCCGAGAGACAATACTGCCTCAACACAAGAAGTGTTTTGGGGCACGATGTTGTATTAGATTAAAGGCTTATCAATGTTTCATCTCTTTCTTCTTTTTTTTTTTTTTTTTAACTGTTCAAGGGTGACAAAAATGAAGAAACACAACCATAGGAAAGCGTGGGTTGATGTTGTCTCTCCTCATAAGAACATAAACCATCATTGCACGCCAACAAAGACACAAAACAAATGTTTAGATCTGGTTAACTGACAATGTGGAGAAGATTTACATCATGGTGTATTTTCTGTTAACGTAGAGACATGTATCTTAGTTGTCTTTCTTCGTCATTGCACCTGGGAGAACATCTTCCACTTTTTAGATGTATGAAACTTCATCCATCTTGAACCTATTCCTTCATTAATGCCTTCACTCAAAGCTAGATTATTTGCCCTCTAGTGGCTGTTAGGAACAAAGAAAGTCCAAATATGACAACATTATTCGCACTTCCCCTCTCAGCTTAACTGTTTCACATCTCTGACACTTGTGCATCTTTGGTACAAATGCTTCATACTCACTTTTGTGTACATCCAACATGAAGCCGTGGAAATGAACTCTCTTTTTCTTTTCAGTCTCAACATATGAATAAAACATGTCCATCACCATCGTTTTTCCTGTGCCTGAAAAATGAAAAGCACGGTAAGTTAAGGGAAACATTTAAACCCAAAAATGCCAAAACAATTTAAATTCATATATTTGTATTTGTATCTATGACACATATTTCTCACCGACATCACCATAGATGTAGTAACCTTTTGGAGGCTTCGGTTTTGTGAAAAACTGAAAAACATGATCTCAAAATGAACATAAATGCCAGCGATCATGGATAAAAATCACAATACAACACATTTAATTATCTTATATTAGTTAAATCAGTTTCTTATACAGTTGCAGGATTTATATCTACATAAGTGAGTTTAGTAAGCCAACAAAGGGAACCAAGAGCAAAACTTCCAAAGACAACTTTCCCTAATTTAGAGGCAGTAGTTACAGTCAAAATAAAGGGAACATTGAGTGTCTAAGTACTAGCATCTTTCTTCCAAATGATATAATACAATTTTAGTGTTTTGTTGTGTCTGACATGTTGTCAAAAAATGTTAAGGGAATAAGAGTTTTTCTCAGCATTACCGACAAGTTAATTAATAAAAATATGAGTTGTCCAATTTAATCAGGAATAAGTTACAAATCACCTGATTTACTCTACACATGTTCCATTCTGTCCCTATTCCACATGGGAAAAAGTAGCCCCCTGTGGCAGGCACAGCCAATTTAAGAAGGTAAAAGTAATTTTAAAGGTAAGAAAGTCCCCCCCCCCCTACATTTATTTTTCTTATAGCACTGCCTGCTTTGTAGTTAAACTCATCAGACCTAAATCACATTTATTGTGTTTATGAAGATATCTTTCATGCAAGTGGTTAGTGTTAATGTTTAGTAGCTGTAAGGTAAGCTAGTTCATGGCTAAAATAGTTTTTGTTAATTGTAACAACAATGAAAATGCTACATGTTTGCTAATGCTAAAATGTTTACCAATAATGTTAAATATATAATTTAAGTGTTCGACATCATGTTTTTCTCATATTCCTTAGTACATAATGTTACATATCACCCTAGTCTATGTTACAGCTAACCCAGACTAGGGATGAATTTTACTCCTTGTGTTTGAGACTAAATCATGCATTTTCTGTCTGTGTGGTAGAAATTACAGTTACACCATTTAATAATAGACATCACATTTTGAAAGCACTGGCTTAAAAGAGCTTTGAGATACAGACTGAAATGTCATCGTGTTTCTCTCTACCTTGGAGAAGATAGATGTGGGTGTGTTGCTGTATCCTCTGAGTGTTTTGTGGAGCTGGTCCAGTGTCTGCAGCACCTCTTTCTGATGTTCATCCTCCCGCAGTGATCCGTCTCTGATCAGCCCTCTGTAGTGATCCAGGGGGCCGCTGAACCCGGCGACTGTACCGCTCTCCTCCACTGCCTGCTGGGCTTGCACCGAGTAACCTTTTAAAATTAGAACAACACAGATAGTGAAGACACTTTTTGCTCTTCTATGTACATTTCAGACCTTCACACACACAAAAGGAGTTTACTGATGTTACAGTAATGTAGTTGTTGCTGTGGAGGAAGACCAAAGGTTAGACAGCTTAGTGACAGCTGACAGAACAAGGGGGAAAAAACAGTGCAATTAGCAATAATACAATAAAATAAAAGACGTTAAGTTGTATAGAATGTCATATATTTATAGTAACATCAAAGCAAGAGAGCTTTAAGAGAGTGTAAATTACCAGATAACAAACATTGTTAATTTAAAGAGCTAGGTCGACTTTTCAGCAGAAATTAACGGACAAACACTTTTAACACTATCACTATCAACACGACTCACCAAAAACTCGTCTCACCTCGTCTGCAGAGCCCCGCCAAAGAGTTTAGCAGCTTTCTAGAAAAATATTGCTCCGTCAAAAGAAACCTAAAGCCCAGTGAAGCTGAGGGTGACATCTTTAAAGACAGCGGTAAGCACGCCGCCATCTTGGTTTCAAATTTCGTCAACGTAACTTTATTAGCAAACACATAAACACAAAACTGCTGTCACGCAGCAGGGGGCGAAGTTTCCTCCAGTTCAGGATCAGTTCATGATAATATTTTATGAAATTAATGTACGTAAACAGTATTATGATAATATTATAATAAAAATAAAATATATATAATGGGAAGGAGCAAAATAAATAGATGATGAAAAAACAACAGTAGCAAACAGAAAAGTTTTAAGCTTAATTTCAAGGGAAGCCGATATTTATTTAGGACAGTTGCAGCTATAGAGAATTACATTAATCTGTACAATTAGATTATCAGATAAATATCAGATATTCCAACTATTTTCTGGTTCCAAATGTGAGGATTTACTACTCAGTTTTACATGATTGTAAACTGAATATATTTTGATTTTAGACTTTTGTCATGTTCATCAGACATTCAAAGAGTTTTCGCTTTTGGAATTGATTTCATTATTTCCTTATACTAAACAATTAACTGAAAAAAATAATTCATACATTCATTGATCATTTAAAAATGTATTTGTTGCAGTCTTAATTCCAAACTTGCCCACAACACGTGATTTGGTAGATACATTTATATGACTGTACTCTACTGAAAGAAACTCAAATGTATCAAGAGAAAAAATAATGTCCCACGCTGTTCAGGCTACATTTAAAACATACACACCTGTGTCCAAGTTATGTAAAACCCAAAATGGAAACACTAAAGTGGTCTATTGTGTTTCATGTGGTAGAAATAGGGATTACAGAGAAACTGTACTTGTGCAAATCGTTGAAATTAAAACACTATATTAACAAGCTGCTGAGCCTTCCCACTCATTAACACAAGGATATGGAAAATTGTGATATATTATAAACACATTAAAGGGGGAAAATATATATTCTGGGAATATATTCACATTCATTCATCAGCTATATCATTTAGAACTGCAACTAATGATAATTTTTAATCTGTAAAAAAAAGTAATGTCTCCAAATTGTTTATTTTGTTAACTAACAGTCAAAAACCCAGAGATATTAGATTTACAATGATATAAAACATGAAAAGCAGCACATTTGAGAGACTAGAACCAGAGTATGTTTAGCAATTAAAATAATGAATTAACTGTGATCTGCTGTGATATCTGATAACTGCAGTTTAAATATTATATCTGGGGCTGCAACTAACAGTTATTTTCATTATTTCCAGAAAATAATGAAAAATGCCTGTTTTAATTTCCCACAGCTCAAAGTTTACATCTACAAATGTCTTGTTTTTTTTTTGACCAACAGTCCAAAACCCAAATATATTAAGTTTACTATGACAAAGAAAAGCATCAAAGCCTCACATCTGAGAAGCTTTAACCAGCACACGTTTGGCTTATGTTGCTTAAAAAATGTCTAAAATTATTATTCAATTATCAAAATAGTAGAAATGTATTTTTTTTTTCTGTCGATTGACTCTTTGATTAAACCCTCTGAATACTAACTTTCCGATGAATATTCCCATTGTAATTAACGGCAGAAACTCCTCAGTCCTCCTCAGTCTAATTATACCTCCTCAGCACTGAGCAGACCAAACATGGCAGACAATTGTCAGGGTGTTTCAGGGCTTACAGGCTTGTTGCCATGACAACAGGGGAGCCTTTCTACACCCCCACCCCCGTCTCTCTTTAATGCACACACACACTGTCACTCTCTCTCTGTCTGTCTGTCTCTGTTGTACACACACACGTACACATACAGTATTACAGTGGAATCCGCCTTGCTTTGAGATCTGCTATAGGAAGCAGGAAACATATAGGAACCAGAGCGAGGAGTGTAGGGACACTCCACATCTGTTTTGGATGGTGAGTGCATGATGGCTGCTTATTGTTTGTTTACATACTGTATGCTCGGACGAATCAGCTTGAAATAAGATCTATTGTGGACGTATGAATTGCTGGTTCTTCATTCCTGGTTAGCTCTGCTGCAGCATGGGAGATGTGCCACATGTTTCTTTTCTTGTAGCTGCCTTTTCTTTTTTAAAGATTAGGGTGGAAGCTGTCATCGTAATGGTAATTCATAGCTGGGTAGCCATGGTGAAGTCAATTTCCCCCTCCCTCTGCCACTGCTGAATGCATTAGTCTAATGAGATGTCTGCAGCCTGTGTGCCGAGCAGCAGCAGCAGCAGCAGCAGCAGCAGCAGTACTGTGTTAAGTAAAAGGGGACGAGGAAAAGCCACATACAGCAAGCGCAAAGATGGCTTTCCCTGCATTGTTTGGGATTTAGCTTTGTAGTCACCTTTAGGCTTCTGGGATTTAAGACAAAAGGGCTTGGCTCTTAGGCTTTCACAATAGAAGACAGCAGGTAATAGACACCCCCTCCTCTCTCTCTCTCACTCTCTCTCAGGTTTATTGGTGTGTTATCAGTGCAGGATGGAGGTGCTGTTTCCTCCACAGCTCATGCATGGCTGCCTTTTGTGTTGTTTGCTTGTTATGGTGCTCTGCTAAATACTGCTCCTCTCACCGCATTGCCCAGCTGAGTATTCTGCAGACTCTTAGTGTTTGGATGTTGCTGTTGCACATCTTTGCCAAGCCATTCTGCTTCCTCTATGTCTGCTCTAAATTGATGCTAATGCTGCTCACTAACATGTAGTTGTTGAGGAGGAGGATTAATGTGCAAGTAAAGTGCATGTGTCTTTGCATTTCCATAGCTTGAGCTTGTTTCCTTTGTCTCCAGCTCCAAATGAGTGTACCAGCAGCAACGGCACAAAAATCAGACGGTAACAACAGTGAAATGCAATCAGCTGCAGTGGCTCCCTCCTTCATCCCCAGCCAGTCGGGAAAGATACCAGGCAGGAAGAGAGGGAGACCCCCGCTCCGCAATGTCGCCAAGATGGATTTTCCCAACCGTTACCCCGAGTCGCTCCCTCCGCTCAAAGTGCCAAAGAAGAGGGGGAGAAAGCCAGGCTTCAAGGTCAGCCAGATTGGGGGGGTGGGGGGGGGAACGGGGGATGAGCTGTGGTGTGTGGATGCAGTGTGTTTAAATAATGCATGTGTACACAGAAAGACACAGACACATCGGCTCCATGCCCTTCAGGTTTTGTGGGACCCCAGAGTAACCGAGAGAGACTTAACATCTGTGAGGCTTTGTTCTGCTGTAGTCAGCTATTAAGGCAATATTTTTTATGTCAGAAGGGGTCATTCATGGAAATATGTCTGTTTTTTTATCCATAAATATCCACAAAATTACTTTTCTGTAGCATTTCACTTCAACTTTATACAGATTTGGTATCTCGATTATTCCACCATCACCATCCCTACATGATTTAATAAAGAAATGATATGCCTGTAAATAAATACAGGAATGCAAAAACTTCTCCTTCCGCAGCTCAAACCCAGGATGGTGATGACGCCGTTGGCTATCTCTCCACCCAGCAGCACCCCTGAGCCCGATATGAGCTCCATTCCTCAGGATGCCGCGACCATCCCCCACTCTGCCACGCCCCAGGTGCTTACAGGTAGGACACAAAACACAAGAAGCATTAATGGGCTTTTTGTCTTTACAATCCAGTCCTGATTTGTTTAAAGACACTTAAAGACCATTAATATAATTTAGGTTTTAAGTGCCTCCACTTATGTTTTCCCTGTGTCAGTCTGTATCTACATCAACAAGCAAGCCAACACGGGCCCCAACTTGGACAGGAAGAAGATCCAGCAGCTCCCTGATCACTTTGGACCCGACAGGCCCTCTGTGGTTCTGCAGCAGGCCGTCCAAGGCTGCATCGACAGCGCCTTCCAGCAGAAAACAGTGTTCACTCTCCTCACACAAGGCTACGGGGGAGAAAAAATATCAGGTGTTGTACAAAGACCTCCCTCAGGTGTTGCTTTCTACTTGTTCAAAAGCTTTATTACCACTTAACCTGTGGTGGTACTGAGTAGAAAACATGCATTTCTAATGGCTTAATTAGCCAATTTGTGAGAAATTGCGTCTAAACTGTGATGTTGTTTCAAGTGGTCCCCTGTTTTGCTCTTCCAGCCACATTTGATGGGAAGCAGCACCTTCTCAGCCTCCCTGTGGTGAACAGCATCGACTATGTGCTTCGTTTTCTGAAGAAGCTCTGCCGCAGCTTGCACTGTGAAAACCTCTTCAGTGATCAGCCCATTACCCAGCACAGTGGTGGCTCTTACCAGTCAGATGGTACTTCTAAATGTTCTGTCTGTCTAATGGTAGCTGATATGTTGATATAAACAAATTATTTGAGCAGATTTTGATCTAATCTTTAGCTGAAACATCTATGACTGAGGACTACCATTTAGACCAGTCCGACGGCAAGCGCTACTCCGTGGACCCTGGCGATTCTGCTTTCAACTCCATAAGCTCGTCCTATTCGCCAAAGTCCTCCTATGGGTTTCGTTCGTCACAGCAGTTCTCCAACGGCTCGGCCTCCATGAGCATGTGCCGGCAGTCGTCCACCAGCCCAAACACGTTCCCAGAGAGCAACAGGACAGGTGGGAAGTCACGGAAAGACAAAACCAGGATTGCTTTGGTGTTTATTTCTCTGAGATAGGAAAGTAAAGCTACTTTCTGTCCTCTTTTCTCCCAGGAGGTTATAATGCATCTCCAGAGTCCCAGGAGTCCAAGGCTCCACCCAATAAGGACCCATCCACCTGGTCTGTGGAAGATGTTGTCTGGTTCATCAGGGATGCTGACCCCCAGGCTCTCGGCCCCCATTCAGATGTCTTTAGGAAACATGTAAGTTTGTTTTCCATCATATTCTTGACAGCCAGACTTGTTTCACTGTTTCACTTGGCCAGAATGAATATCCAGTGGAAGTGACACCACCAACTTCTTCTCTTGCTTCTCTCAGGAGATCGATGGAAATGCTTTGTTACTCCTAAAGAGCGACATGATCATGAAGTACCTCGGACTGAAGCTGGGGCCAGCCTTGAAGCTTTGCTACCACATCGACAAACTAAAGCAGACTAAGTTCTGAAAGTCTTCGATGATATA